CTCAGCAGTGGGCCTCGAGGGTACCGTGCTCAATATGTACTAAACATCCTCTTCCCAATTACATCACTTTTAGACATTCTATGACAAGTGTTGTTTATGATATTGTAAAAGACTGCATGCCCTTCTATCATTGATCATGAATCACAATTTGCGGCGATTAGGAAAACGAAGAGAAAAATTAGAATAGGCTTGTATTCCGAATAAAGGGAACAGACAAATAATTAATTTAATCAAATAGCGGCAAAACATAAATTAAGTAACAACAAATTTTGGTCTATTGTCTCATCTTTTGTTACGGTTGAAAAATAACAATCGTTTGAATGTTACCATATAAAGGAGACAACTCACAAGAGGAAAATAGAGAAAACTATTGGGCACGCAGACATTTTATAAGTCATCTTGTACAACATTGAAGTAAGCTGTAATGAACAAAATGGGCAAGATCCTCCGGGACACGTGACCTGTAAAGGAATACCCAGCTTCAAATCTAGTCACGTTTGATAGTCCATATCGATACGCGGTAAGTCGAGATTGTTGATCATGACAGCACTGGAACATTGTGATTTTGTGGCACGGAGCCGACTGTGTATATCTTGCATTAGCAAATGAATTTCCGCTTTCTCCTGCAATCCGCTGCAAAGTTGCATCAACCCAAAAAGGAGACTATTCAGATTCTGCGCCTGTTCCAAGCCCTGCAAGGTGTATAAGTGTGAATATAGGAAATAATCAAGTGAATTGTTGATTAGTGTACTACACAAGCACACAAATAATTGATTCCCCAAAACGTACAATACATGAGGAGTCGCAAACGATGACGAATTTTAAACGAAAAACGATCCGAAACGTATAATCAATTGTATCACATAACACAGTCAGATCAACTAGACGCAAATTTGACGGAAAGACTTGAAGAAGAAACACGATGTTGCCAATTATTTTTACGGCATTTGCGGCCCCCTTATACAGTTTGATATAAATTGTGATCTATTAGACCGAAGAAGGACCACGGCAAAAGAGCTTGTTCGCTGTTGTCTTTTATTACATTGTGTAATGAAGGTATATTCGCAAGTTTGCGGCCTACCAGTGAGAATTAGTGATGTTACAGGGCTTTTCAAACTTACAGATTCATGGTTTATATTTTCCTCCCTTACAGAAAATTTCCTGTTTTCGGACAGTTATGAATCATGCCAAAAAAGGGGCCCAAACTCCTCTTCCAGGCACATGCGGTACAATCGACCCCGGGTAAAAAGGCTGACAGTATTAGCTTTTTACTATCACTATGGAATCGACCTGACACAACAGAGAGATACACCATTTAATCAGAGGAAACGCTAGTCAGCGTATGATACAATGTGGGGTAAATAATATTCACGAAATAAACGAGAGTAGGTGCACGTGACTCCTTTCTTGATGGTTATATACAATCCACCACAAAAGTAGTGTGCGGCCCCTAGATTTTTGGATTACTTCCGCTCCTACATTAACGACCATCACCATTTTGGAGGATCTAGGCGGCAACCAAATGTGAGGCCGAAATGTCCAATTTGATTACATCTTCAATTTTAACAAGATGTCGATAAAACCGAATTTTCATCGCGAAAAAGTGTTGCACCCCGTAGACATTACCCATTGGAGCCTCTTTATTACTCTGTATGGGCTTCCTTATCACGACTGTATTGACATTATTCCATAGGCTAATCAGCAATGTTTTCAATTTATGCTTTGTGCTATAAACTCTGGAGGGTTGATTCACGGATAAGAAAAACACACGTATTGTATTGGGAGCAAATCTGGGCTGCACGAAGGCCATACCGTTGTTTCGATGCCGCGAAAAAATAACCAGTATTTCGTTAGATATAGGTAACGAACTACAGCGATATAGTTCTGCGAAAACTACATAAGGGTGATCATTCGATGCCATTCTCCTAGCACAAGGTGCCACTCCAATATACGAATATGCGTATCAGAATGTTGCAACCCACGTAGTATAGCGTTTAATTGGGTTGTTGCTTAATAACGCACTGCGCGTCATGGAGGAGTAGCAACTGATAATTCACTTACTGAAATACCGCTCTTACCACGTATCGTACCAGCAATAGTTTCAAGTATCAAGCCCATCTAAATTAGATTTGTTCTCGCCACTGAGTTAGACGAAATTCCGTAGTAATCGAAGTAGATACGGATTACGGATCACAAATCACTGTTGCAACTGAAGCACAGAATCGCATTAGCAAACGTACGCTGCAATCTTTCATCATCTAGACGCAGGAAAAGTGCCACAGATGTACCGGTTGGCTTAGTGAGGAAAATCAATGAGTTTCAATATCATATTGGCTATACAGGTCTCCACCAATGGCCTGCTCGTATTCTTGATATAACACAGCTTGTCTGGACCGCACCATTGATTGGTCGGCACGACTGGCCTGTGGTTTGTTGTCCAGAAGCTGTAACGTGTCACTCTGTGGCTGACGTTATCTCATGAGCCGGGATCACCATAAATTAGAGTAGTTTTTCCAGGCTACATGAGTTCGCAATAGGTCTGTGAAGATTTTAGAGCTACGCACCTTCTCATTTTCTTGCTGCAAGTGTACGTTGTACCACTCGTATAGATAAGTTCAACTTCAGAACCGTCTTTATCTCGGATGCATGACTGAATGAAGTTGTAGGTCACACGCGGCAACCCGCCCTTGCCTTTCCCAGAGAGTTTCGTCAGATGTCCGATCCGAATTTGATTGGCTTTTAACTGTTTCCCTTTCAAATACCCCCACGGTGTGATCGAGATCTATTATGTGAGCCGATCACTGATGCACGAAGATTATCAGTCGCCATGCCAAAGTATGAACTCCGGATGTCCATCGGACCCGTTTTAAAATCGAGTTAGGTGTG